AGTAAACACAACAACAAGCAGGAGAAAACTACAACATGGTTTGTGTTTTATGTTCTGTCCGTTTTATAATCGCCAATACGGACCTGAATAACAAAGGAGACCGCTAGCTAGGTGATAACTTCTCACGGGGCAGCACAGTTAGTAACCTTTTTTAAAAGTAAAGCAACCGGAAGGCAGTACGTTCTTTATTCTGAAAATCTCGGGACCTTCTCTCCATTTCTGCGTCCCATTTCCTGTCTTTCCTTCCCCAAAAATGTCGAACTTGACCCGTTTCAGAGGCGTCGCGCGTAGAAAATAGAACCGGCGCGTAAAGGCCGCGACATGCTGCTCCTGAGACGCGGCCGACTCGCGCTGCTGACGGCTGCTGACGGCTCCAGTGGAAAAGGTTCTGTTAACCACAGCGGTTCCTATCAGCAGCTATGACGTGCTGCTGACGGCTCCTGTGGAAAGCCGGGGTAACACACACGTTGCAGTTGCGGGCAGTAATGGTCAGAAATTCAGCAGGAGCAGGCAGGAGCGGGATGAAGAAAACAGTCCCGCGCAGGGCTCTACTACTGCGTTTAAGTGTTTAAATTTTTTTAATGAATTCGATTAAAAATAAAGGCGCCCGGCCCGTGTCCGAGGTAATTACACAGTCGTTGGCCCAAAGCCCGGCCCTCGGGCCTTCGGGCCGGGCCGACCCGAGGGCCTAGGGCTTCAGTGCAGGGCTCTAGTCTAGTCGGGACTTTTTAAAGGGAACACTTTGCTTCTACAAACTGAATAAACCCAACATAAAGCATATAATCACACATGTAAAGTTCATCTAAATCCATTCAACAGTCAAGCTGCAGAATCTCTGCCATTTGACCTGTTTTTCTCCGTGCCTTCTTCGTTGATGTCACTTTCACAAAGCGCATTTATAGTCCTGGACTTATTACACAAAACTTAAAATAACGTTTCCTCCCTTTCGAAAATAAACACGTTCTTGGTATTAAAATGCATCTTCATGGACATCATATGTGAAATCCATGGCACACAACAATCGGAATTAGAAAATAGCATTTTTAGCCCCGTTGACTTGCATTCATTTTTTTGGTCTTCCGTGAACCCGTGGTCCGGAAGTAGATGGGCATGACTTTGGCTCCCTATGGAGCGCTGTCTGTCAACTATGACAGAATGTGGAATCTTGCGTTACCATAGTTACAGCTCAGGTGCATCGTTTAAAATGCTTTATTATTAAGGCTAGAACCTTTCAGACTTCAGTATAAGTTCCATCTCGAGAGAGTAGGACCTTTTCTCTGCGGTCTCTGTGTTTGCTGACTGGTCTTCCAGAGAGCAGCTCTAGCAGGTAATAAAACTACCCACAAACAAACCTAGCCCAACATCTGACGTGTTTAGACTTTTAGATTTATCTGAAGTGTTTCCTGTGCTTTACTGGGAGACATTAACATCCCTCAAGGTAAACTGGTTTTATCATTTATATAAAATAAACCTGCTGGAAAAAAAATCAAACAAAAACCCCTTAAGCAGGTCAGATTACAGATAAACAGTCAAGATAAAACTACTTTGAATCTGAAATATGAGTTATGAACGTATATTTCTATAACTAGACCTACGTGCTATCTGCCGTGTACAGTAGTGGTGTCTGGAGAAGGGACTGATCTTTATTTCGGCACCAGTTTGACAGAAATATAGATAAATGCCACTTTACATCAGTGAATAAGTTATAACTTTAATAACATTAAGTGAGCAAACAATTTAGACTTGTTTACATTTAAAAATGGATCCATCAGCTAATAGAAGAGTCATTTGGCTTGATTTAGCAAACAGAAAGGTCAAGAGGCTCAACTGCAGGTTATCTTTATGTACGTATTTAACTTCTAAGTAACTTATAGTTTTTGTCACATTGCTCTTTGATTAAACACTACCAGGAAAGCTGAAATCTCTCTTTATATTTATAACCTTTACTGCTATATGAGCATCAAGACCAAAGAAAAATTTATTTGATGTCAAACAGTTTGTTTTTTGTCTGATGAGGATTGTTTCATCTTCTTTAAGTTCTGATATCTTTTTATTAAATATATTTCTAAGTCATCAAACATCTGGTCTCTGATCCGATCATTCTTATGCATATGAGGCACACCTGATGATGGCTACTTTTATGTTAAATCACGTTTAGAGGGACAGGATGACAGAATTTAAAATGCAAACAAAAATAAATCTTTTAAAAAGTAATGAAGTTATTGAATATAATATAACATGTCAAGCTTTTCTTTGTTTGTACTTTACTTATTTTCTTCAGGTCTACTTTTCACTTTTACTTCACTAATTTTTAAAGCCACTATCTGCACTTCCTACTTCACTACAATAGGAAGCCTACGACTCCTCCCTTTCCGGTCAGCTCATGGGTCCCCGGAAGAAGGAAATGCAAGTCAACGGAGCTAAAACTCTATTTTCTAATCCACTTTGCCTTACGTCCTGGATCGCACATATGTTGTACTTCAATTTAAATGACATCCAACGATGCGTGTTTCAATCATCCCAGTCACGTACTTAGAAATGTATCATCTTGTAAATGTTCGATGTTAGCGTGACTACAAATCCGACATCGACATGTTGCATATATGACGCCACTACAGAATCTCTGCCATTTGCCCTGTTTTTCTCCGTGCCTGCTTCGTTGATGTCACTTTCACAAAGCGAATTTGTAGTCCTGGACTTATTACACAAAACTTAAAATAACGTTTCCTCCCTTTCGAAAATAAACACGTTCTTGGTATTAAAATGCATCTTCATGGACATCATATGTGAAATCCATGGCACACAACAAGCAGAATTAGAAACTAGCATTTTTAGCCCCGTTGACTTGCATTCATTTTTTTGGTCTTCCGGGAACCCGTGGTCCGGAAGTAGATGGGCATGACTTTGGCTCCCTATGGAGCGCTGTCTGTCAACTATGACAGAATGTGGAATCTTGCGTTACCATAGTTACAGCTCAGGTGCATCGTTTAAAATGCTTTATTATTAAGGCTAGAACCTTTCAGACTTCAGTATAAGTTCCATCTCGAGAGAGTAGGACCTTTTCTCTGCGGTCTCTGTGTTTGCTGACTGGTCTTCCAGAGAGCAGCTCTAGCAGGTAATAAAACTACCCACAAACAAACCTAACCCAACATCTGACATGTTTAGACTTTTAGATGTATCTGAAGTGTTTCCTGTGCTTTACTGGGAGACTTTAACATCCCTTAAGGGAAACTGGTTTTATCATTTATATAAAATACACCTGCTGGAAAAAACAAAATAAACAAAAACCCCTTAAGAAGGTCAGATTTCAGATAAACAGTCAAGATAAAACTACTTTGAATCTGAAATATGAGTTATAAACGTACATTTCTATAAACTACACCTACATGCTATCTGCCGTGTACAGTAGTGGTGTCTGGTGAAGGGACTGATCTTTATTTCTGCACCAGTTTGTCAGAAATAGAAATAAATGCCACTTTTCATCAGTGAATAAGTTATAACTTTAATAACATTAAGTGAGCAATCTATTTAGACTTGTTTACATTCAAAAATGGATCTAGTGTTGATCGAGTTCCTGATTAAAAAGAGCAAAGGCTACTGAATAAACCACATAGAGTAGAATAAAGTGATTTCTCCAGCTGAGCTTTTATAATCTAGATCTACACGCGGTGGCTTCTGGTCGCTGTGGTGATGCTGACTCAGCTGGGATCGGTGGCTGTTTCGTTCACATCCGACCTAAAACTGAGCAGAAGGATGTGAACAGAAATCCTTTTTGTTTCCATCTCCGTTTGATCCTAAAAGTGTGTTTCTGAACGAGCCGGATAAGAAAACGAAGCACAGCCTGATGTAAACAACACAACTGAAAGTTTCTCTTCATAGATCTGAAACCTGCTGAGACAATAACATAAAGTATCTCCAGTGAGACTGCGTTCGGTTTAAAACATGGAGAATAAACTAAATTCACAACTGAAATCCAAACGTTTCACTTAGTGAAGTAAAACACAACAATAATCTTCAGAAACTGGTGTTTAAACAGAGGGCTGGAGATGAAATGGTTCACATGTAACAGCTGTTGCTTCGGTCGCTGTGATAGACATGGATCTGACTGTAGAAACTGATCAGAGATCAGTTTGTTACCAGTAACAGTGGATGTGATGTTTCCTGTTTGATGTCTCTGATGCCATGATGTCTGACGTCTTGTTACGGGTTTTAAAGCTTCTTCTTCTCATCCTGTGTCACAGAACGATGGAGGACAACATGAACCTCCTGGAGAGTTTTGAGAGGGACATAGGGGACTTCTCCCTTCTGGACGAGATCCTTCAGGACTACCAGGCCTTTCCTTTTTCTCCTCCACCTTCTCCTCTTCTTGAACATCCTCCCTCACCTCTTCTTCCTTCTATTTCTCCTCCACCTTCTCCTCTTCTTCGACATTCTCCCTCACCTTTCCTTCCTTCTTTTCCTCCTGCTTCACCTCCCCCTCCTCCATCTCCTTTTTTAGCTCCTCCACTTTCTCCTACTGCTTTTCTTTACCTCCCACCCTCTCCTCCTGTTGTTTCTTCTCTGCCTTCACCTCATACTTCCACTGTCTCTTCTCTGCCACCATCCATTCTTCTTCCTGGAATTCCACCTGCTGCTCCTGTTTCTCCTCCTCATACTCCCACTGTCTCTTCTCTGCCACCATCCTTTCTTCTTCCTGGCATTCCACCTGCTGCTCCTGATTCTCCCCCTCATACTCCCACTGTCTCTTCTCTGCCACCATTCTTTCTTCTTCCTGGCATTCCACCTGCTGCTCCTGTTTCTCCCCCTCATACTTCCACTGTCTCTTCTCTGCCACCATCCTTTCTTCTTCCTGGCATTCCACCTGCTGCTCCTGTTTCTGCTCCTCATACTCCCACTGTCTCTTCTCTTCCACCATCCTTTCTTCTTCCTGGCATTCCACCTGCTGCTCCTGTTTCTGCTCCTCATATGCCCACTGTCTCTTCTCTGCCACCATCCTTTCTTCTTCCTGGCATTCCACCTGCTGCTCCTGTTTCTGCTCCTCATACTTCCACTGTCTCTTCTCTGCCACCATTCTTTCTTCTTCCTGGCATTCCACCTGCTGCTCCTGTTTCTGCTCCTCATACTTCCACTGTCTCTTCTCTTCCACCATTCTTTCTTCTTCCTGGCATTCCACCTGCTGCTCCTGGTTGTGCTCCAGTCTCTAACCCAAAGTAAGTTTTGACTTGACCATTTCAGAATAAAATATCTATAAAGTTTACCACATTTCCAGGATGTAGATGCTGACAGGTGTGTGTTGTGTTTTGTCTCTACAGAAAGAGAAAGCGTGAGCACCAGCAGCAGGACCGCCCCTATGTGAAGAAGCCACTAAATGCCTTCATGATCTTCCTGCAGGACCAGAGGCCAAAGGTGGTGGCTGAGCTGAATCCGAAAGACAGCGCTGCTGTCAACGCCGTCGTAGGCCAGAGGGTAAGTGCGTTTGCGACAGAAAGATGATGGTTTTGCTTCCGTGGATTATTGTTCACCAACAGCTTGTCTCACTGTCTTTTGTTCACAGTGGAGGGAACTGTCTCCTGAGCAGAGGAGCATCTACTTCGACCAGGCTCACGAGGAACAGAGGCTCCACAAGCAGCAGCACCCGGGCTGGGTCCCCAACTACAACCCTGTACGTACACTCTGCTCAGACACCATGAACTCACACACCTGATGCTGATGAACACTTACTGATATAAAGCTCGTGTGTGTGTTTTTGGGACCAGAAGGCAAAACGAGTTAAGAAGGAGCCGGCCGCCAGCTCTGCAGGTAAGAAACATTTCTGTGGATCATTAGATGTGATGATGTCACCACAGCTTGACTGTTGAATGGATTTAGATGAACTTTACATGTGTGTTTATATGCTTTATGTTGGGGTTATTCAGGTTGTTGAAGCTAAGTGTTTCCTTTAAAAAGTCCCAGAACTGATGGTATTTTTATCTTTCTGTTGCAGCATCCAGCAGCCCAGGGGGGAGCAGCCGCAGCCAGTGACCAACATATGGAATATCTTTTTATATATCCTTTGTTGTGTTCACTTTTCTAGGGTTTTACTGTTTGTAAACCCACATTCAGACCAATGACCACACACACACACACACACATGCTGACACTCACACGCATTGCACACACACATGCACACACACACACACATCACGCACGCATGCACACACGCACACACACCGCGCACGTACACACGCGCACACATTGCACACACGGACACATGCACACACATTGCACACACGGACACATGCACACATCGCGCGCATACACACACACACACACACACACACACACACACACACACACACACACACACACACACACACACACACACACACAGATAAGCACTAATACTTTGTGGGACAGGGTTTGGAACTAGGGTGAGGGTGGGATGGGTGAGGTTGTCAACCAGCAGCCTCGCCCTTCAACCACCTGCTCTGACCTTTGACCTGTGCTCTTAGTTTTTGCACCACAGACACGTCACGTTTTTTTTCTTTCTTTTTCTGGAGGGTGGGGACAATGGTAAGTTGGGAATCTGCTATCTGCAACTAGTAGGATTCCCCTGTCAGGACACCACCTCCCCTTTCTTACTGCACGCACACACACACACACACACACACACACACACACACACACACACACACACAGATAAACACTAATACTTTGTGGGACAGGGTTTGGGACTAGGGTGAGGGTGGGATGGGTGAGGTTGTCAACCAGCAGCCTCGCCCTTCAACCACCTGCTCTGACCTTTGACCTGTGCTCTTAGTTTTTGCACCACAGACACATCACTTTTTTTTTCTTTTTCTGGAGGGTGGGGACAATGGTAAGTTGGGAATCTGCTATCTGCAACTAGTAGGATTCCCCTGTCAGGACACCACCTCCCCTTTCTTATTGCATGCACACGCACACACACACACATCACACATGCACGCATGCACACACGCACACACATCAAGCATGCATACACACATCACACACACACACATCACACACACAAACACACACACACACACACACACATTTTAGTAAATTAACTCAATCTGTTATTTGTGGCTTTTTTCATTCCAGACTGGACCCTTGGACACCTGGCACACTGGACACCTGGGGCCTTGGACCCTCAGATGCCTGGAACACTGGACACCTGGACACCCGGACCCCACGACACCTGGCACACTGGACACTTGAACCCTGGACACCTGGGACCTTGGAGCCTCAGATGCCTGGCACACTGGACACCTGGACACCCGGACCCCACGACACCTGGCACACTGGACACCTGGAACCCTGGACACCTGGGGCCTTGGACCCTCAGATGCCTGGAACACTGGACACCTGGACACCCGGACCCCACGACACCTGGCACACTGGACACTTGAACCCTGGACACCTGGGACCTTGGAGCCTCAGATGCCTGGAACACTGGACACCTGGCACACTGGACACCTGGAACCCTGGACACCTGGGACCTTGGACCCTCAGATGCCTGGAACACTGGACACTGACACTTTGACACCTGGACCCTCAGACGCCTGGAACACTGGACACTTTGACACTTTGACACCTGGACCCTACGACACCTGGGTCCTTGGGTCGTCAGACACTGGACACATGCACAAACACCTTTTAATAAACCTTTTAAATGTTTTATCTTTGCTCAGTTTTTTGTTTTCTACACTTCAGCTCATAGTCAAACCTGGTAATGGACTTGGTAATGAACTTGGTTTGAGTTAAAATTGTCACGATGGGGAGCCAAGAGGAGGTTGGGACCCAAAGATGCAGAGAACCAGATGACGCTTAGTGGAGCAATGAAGTAAAAATCATTTTACTAATGATCAGTCCAAAAAGGCAGGGAGCCAAGGCACAAAATCAAAGTCCCAAAATACAAAACCTAGAATCCAAAATGAAGATCCAAGACTAAAGAGGGAAACGAGACAAAGGTGACAAATACAAAGGCCCAGCCACAGATAGAGACGCAGACAGGGTTATATACACTGGGGCATGATGGGAGACAGATAGGCTGCAGGTGTGTGGGGAGAGAAACCAAGTGAAAGCAATCAGGGAAGAAACTAACATGACCTAAGAGTTAAAACCTAAAGACAAGAAAAGCAGCAAAAATAACTAATATTCTAAGGGGGAAGGACATCTACAAAAACCTGTGGGAAAACACACTAAAGAGACTAATAAAATGAAAAGCTGAACCTAAAAAAAAACTGCAGAGGGGTGACTGGGGGAGACCAAAGGAACACAGGACCTGGGAGGGATCATCTGGAGGGCTGAAGACCAGGGGACACATGAGGAACACAAAGAGACACATAAGGGGATCCTTAGAGGGGAATGGAGCAAATGACGTCAAAGTAGTTGATTGGCTGAACATGAACCTTACGGAATTACGTAATCATGTTACGTTGTTATCACGTTACATTGGTCCAGGCAAATCTTTCTGTTGGAAAGATGGACAACTTTTACAAAGAAATCCATCATTACCTCTTTGAAAATACACTTTTAGCATAGAGCTGCATGTATATTGGGGCTGAACAATTAACTGCATGTGCAATTAAATTGCGATGTGACAAAAGGAGGTTTTCTAATCGCAAAGTCTGCAATTTGGCAGCGAGTGGTTAGCGCAATTCTAATAGACATGGAAAAACCCTTAGGAATGCTAATGCTAAAATCGACGATTACATTATTACAAATTATGAATTAGAAACGTGCCAAATGATTACATTTGGAGTCTAATAGAAAGTAAAACTACCATCAATCAAATAAGTACAGACAGGTATTTTAGTAAAGCCAGAAAACTTTTAACTCCAGAGTTTTGGCTGGCAGCTATGAGCGTAACTGAACTACGCATGGACAAGACGTCAAAAACTAAACACAAAACACTTCGATAAACGGGACACACTTCTTTCCTCCAAATATAATTTCACTGGTGTTGCTAATACTTATTATCCTTCAAGGGATGTGCTCAAAGAGGAGTTCAACATTATGAATAAAATATAGTGTTTTATTTTACTAATACCATTATAAACACAAACTTACGTCTTAAGAAACATTTTAATAATGAAACTGCTAAATTCTTTCCAACAGTATAGATGTGTAGTGTATTTTGTCCGAGTGGGTTTGCCGTACTTTGACGTCATCGGCAGTCGAAGGACTCCTAGCCGATCTTGCACCCGAGCAGATCCTGTACCGACAAAATGAGTAGCAAATGTACAAAATAAAAGATTGATTTTACAAAATAAATAATACATGTACAAAATGAAATTTTCCTGTTACAAAACAAGAAATACAAGTACAAATTGAGAATTACAAGTTAGAAAACTAAAGTTACAAGTTACGAATCCAAAGTTACGTGTCATGAAACATGTTGTTTGGTACAAGTTACATTGAATATTGTACCAATCCTAGCTCCATACTGTGGTGCAACATCTTCGGCCTGCTCCTCTTCCTCTCCATCTCTGTCTCCATCATCACCATCTGTCTGGTGGCAGTGAGCAAAATCCTCCTGGTTGCAAAGAGAGCTGTTTTTGAGCGTGGTTTTTCTGAAGATGGACTTATTTTGCTCCTGATCTCAGCTTGAATGCTTTGCCTGACCAGCTTTGGTCCACTTTGGTCCGTCTACACATTTGTGCCTCAGGTGTGCACATGCAACTTCCATTGTACCAAAGGTCACCCCAACACCATTCTGTTGTTCCGCCAGTTTTTACTGCATGTGTTGGAGATTTCCCTTCAGTATTACAGGTTTTCTCAATTGTTTACACACATTTTCTGGTACTTGAGACACAATGACCACAACATGTAACCAATTCACCAACCCCCTTAACCAATTCTGCTAAACTACAAGCACAATTCCTGCTTTGCACTCAAATTGCAAATCTAAAACACAGTTTTTTCAAAACACTACACACAATTCTCTGCTGTTGGCACAATTTTCATGCAGAAAATATCTTGTTTTCACAAGGAACACACTGCTATTGAAATATACACACTGACTCATCACAAGGGCAAACACCTGTCACACTGTTTTACAATTAGCAATCAGAGCTTTAGCATAAAAGGGCAACAGTTGAGCTCCTCTGTTTTGGAGCAATGGATGCCAACATTGGAAACAGAGGCAGAGCCAGAGGAGTGAGAGTGAGAGTGAGAGGAGGACGGGGAGGATGAGGAAGACCAAGGACCGTAATCTCTGATGAGATCCGAGCCACTTTGGTTGATCATGTGGTCAACCATGGTCTTACAATGAGGGAGGCTGGGCAAAGAGCACAGCCAAATTTGAGCAGGTACACTGTAGCATCCATCATCCAGGCTTTCCGAAATAAGAATAGGTAAGAAATGTTCTCTCACTAGAAAATGGCAGTACTGCATGTCAATACAATCAGTATTCAATGAGTATAGTAGTAGTATTGCCTGTGGATGGTTTTGTTGGACAGTAAAATATACTGTAAAGTATGTTTCCAGTATTTAGGAAATGTATACCTACTTTGTATTCACATTATTTTACTATTTGTTTGGCAGAACTGAAAAATTACCAACACGAGAAGGTCGTCTTCTGTCACCTGAACAGAAAATTGAAATCCTCAACATGGTCCTAGAAAACAATGCCATAACATTACGGCAAATACAAAGAAAATGTATCGAAAACAACGACATGTTTCAAAATATTCATGGGGTCAGCCTATCAACTCTGGACCGTGTCTTGCGCAGAAATCATCTCAGGATGAAGCAGAGCTACAGGGTGCCATTTGAACGAAACTCAGAGTCAAAGAATTGCGATATAACTATGTGCAAGTGAGTCCCACAAC